TTGTGTACAGCTACGGAAAAGTTATTTATTGCACAAAATTCAACAACTCTTAAACTACTTTTCCACATAACTGCTGCCGAAATATTGCAGGCATTTGTCATAGCGTGGCACAAGTTTTTGTATACCTTGTTCATAGAAATTTGCCGCCTGTGTCTTCAAACCAGTTGGAAACAGTTTCTTTCAGCTCTCGATCATAGTTGAAGTGTTGACCGCCAAGGAAAGACTTAAGATGTAAGAACAGATGAAAGTCGCTAGGAGCGAGGTCAGGGCTGTACGGAGGATGGTCAAACACGTCCCAGCCAAATCCCGGTTGAAGGTTTTTGTCACATTTGCAGTGTGTGGTCGTGCGTTGTCGTGAAGAAAAACAACACCTTTTGACAGCAATCCTCGGTGCTTATTCTGTATTGCGCGGCGCAATTTCCGAAGTGTCTCGCAATAAGCATCTGCTCTGATTGTTTGACCACGCGGTAAGAAATCAAGAGTAAGATGCCTTTCCAGTCCCAGAACACTGTGCACATCATTTTTCGAGGTGTCAAGATTTGCTTCGGCTTAACCTTTGCTGGGGATGAAGTGTGCCTCCATCCCATTGATTGCCGCTTACTTTCAGGGGTGTCGTAAGAAACCCAAGTTTCATCTCCTGTGACTGTGTCAGAAATTCTTCGCCGCTTTCAGCATAACGGGTCAAAAAACTGAAGTGCACTACCCATCCGTTTTTGTTTTGTGTTGCTCAGTAAGAATCTTTGGTACCCAACTTGAGCAAGTTTACGAAATTTCAGTTTTCGGTAGCAATTTCATGCATTAGTGATCGTGAAATTTGGGGAAATTCCATACGAGCACTAATTGTAAACCTTCGGTTTTCATGGATCTTGTCATCAACCGCGTGAACCAGTTCTTCTGTAATCAAAGATGGACGCCCACTTCGTTCTTCATCGTGCACATCACTACGTCCGTCATTGAACTTTCGGACCCATCTTCTCACCATTTAATCACTCGTCGCTTTTGGTCCGTAAACATCGCAAATTTGCCGATAAATTTCACTAGGTTTCACTTTCCTCGCATTCAGAAAACGAATCACAGATCTGATTTCACAAGCGGCGGGATTTTCAATCAACACCGACATTGTAAACAAGCACAACAAAGCGTGCGTGACTCACAGCGATCTCCAAATGGCGCGCGTTTCTTCTCCTTGATACAGAACGTGTACTGCGCATGTGCGGAACTGCGATCGCTGAGCTGCAGCGGAGATAAATTGAAACGGAAGTTACTTTCTGGACGTGCCTCGTATTTTTGCCTTGCCGCGAAGTGAAAACTGGATCAATTGAATGAGAAATATATGTAGTTTTAATGAAATTTGAGGAGATAAGTTTAAACGAAATGCAGCAAAAAATTTAATAGGCCATACAAGGAAGTCATGTAGTGTACACATTAGATATTTCTTTACGCTGAAGTGTTTGTTCTTGGGTGATCTGCTTCTTGGCTGAAAGGTATGATACATACATGCATTCCTGAATCAGAACCCGATAACAGAAAAGTACCATAATATCTACCAGATCGCATGGTTGGAAAATGACATGATTGCTTATAACGTTACAAACCAAAAACTTGGAAAACTTCTCTACAACTTTTTTTTTACTAAAATAATATTAATTTCTGTTTAAAAAGAGTTATAATCGAAATTTGTCTTCGTATTTCTTAGGTAGGTTAGTTTAAGAGAATGCTTTATTTCATTGCAAAATGCTTCTTTTATCCATCTAAGCGAAAGGAAAGGAACTGTGTGTAATGTTCGTTGTTTTGAGAAAATTGAACCTTTTCTTCGATGTTGCTTTTTTTCTGAATCTTCTTTCGTTTCTCTTTTTACCCAAAAATATTTTACACAAGTTAACGGCATATTTTTGTGAACTATTTTGTCCTTTGAAGAAAAGAATTTGCGCTCATTTGTTCGAACTGCACAGAACGTAACTTTCGATTGTTAGAAACTGAAAGGGAATAGCTGCTTTGTACAACTTCGAGGTTATTTTGTATAAAATGACGCAGTTCTATCCTTTTTTTGGAATATATTGCAATATGACAGCTCTCTGAATAACATCCCTCTCGAGAATTTTGCCGTTAAGAATTAACTGCCTACTGTTATTTTCATTTGTGAAGATGAGAAATATAGCTAATTAGTTTCGAAAGTACAAGCTACTAATTTCAAAATAAAAAAAAAATTAAATGCAATCTCATTAGGCTATAGAGACATTAGGTATATTTTGGAAGCAGGCAAGATGAAAAATTAGCAACGCCTTCGCCGGGAATCGAACCAAGGCCCTCTGGAATACCGGCCCAGCGTGCAGAACCACTACACAACGAAGGCACGCTAAGAAGGTGGGAGAAATACCTTATAAGGTGGAACAGAAAACTAATCATTATGTTAGAATAACTCATGTTTAGTAGCATAATGGAATATATTTATTCAGTTTTTCCAGGTGCACCATCTGCCGAGCGGTAAAATTACTGAACACTGGTAGTTCCGATCTCCATTCGATTCCAGAAGAACGGGCTGCCTGCATGGGCGTTTTCGTGGTTTTCCTCATGTGTAAGTGTGTATACGAAATAGTTTCCCTTAGAAAGTCCTCCACGAAGGCATCCCTACCCTTAGGCAGATAGGCCACAATCAACTAAGCCAAATGAAACTATTCAGTGTTTCCATTTGGTAACTTGATTCCTTCGGCTACAGTAGTACCCAAAATATAAGGCCGTACTCACTGTATTAAAAAGAAGTATTATAAGGAGTTTTTCTCCGAACTAAATTGTCTAATGTTCATTTAGTATTATAAATAACTTCCATTTCACTGAAATTCAGAGCAGTTAACAACTGAACAGGCATGTCCGGAAATATATCAGGTTATCGTAAAATGCCTATCCTATTTTTCAGAAGTCTGGCAACATTTTATCATCTTTCACTGACTTCGTTCATAAAACTTGTTCTTAACGGCAGAAAATTGAACAAAGTGATTTGCAGCTTCGTCTGAACTGAAAGTTATACTATGGAAGGAGTTTTGAAGATATCGAAACAAGTGGAAATCTGACGCCGTAATGGTAGGCAAATATGGGTGTGACAACCCCTCCCATCCAAGCTCCTATAATATGTAACGGGTGACCAAACTTGTGTTTGGTGTTTTGTTGACTTGATGGAACAATACTCCTTTAAAATATTAATAAGTCCTGGACGTTTCTAAATGAAGGATTTGCACAAATTTCAGACTGGAGGCGTTACACATTGCAAATTGATTGTTTGATTCATTGATAATAGCTAACAAAATACACCTTTATGTTTCCAAGCTTCTTCAGATGTCGCCAAGGCTTGGATAATGGTTATTCTGCCGTGTAGTGTAACGCGGATTTGACTCGGTCAATGAATTTACTTTATCATCAACCGAGGTTGATGATAATGGCAATGGTATTACATACTTGTCCTGCTATGTTATCTGTCAAGCATACAACGGACTAGGCCCTACTGAGAAACCTCCATATCAGAAGGTGGGTCATCTAATCAAAGGTGTTCGAGAGGTAAGAAGTATGCCAATCATGCTGCTGCCCCAGGCCGTCCAAGCCCGGGACTTTAAAATGTTTCTGTCTAATCACTGCTGAACTGGGCAGGTTGGGGTAACCACTTTCCGCGCTCAGAGACTACAGTCGTGGGAACACTGAAAACCTGGAAGTCTGACTGGTCGTCAAGATGCTCCTACCAGTACTACGTGGTAGGACCCATTTCCAGTCGGCCAACCACATCAGACGAAGTACAGAGTTATCATCTCTCTCCACACCTGAGGTTCCCCTACAGCCTATAATGGGACAACCCCCGCCTGATGGAGTGAAGGGTTATTACCTTTTTCCTCATAGGTTCGGAGTCTTCGCCAACTCCTTGTTGTAACTAGGACGATCTTCACTTGGGGTTCTGGAGCCGCCAAGGTACAGATCCGAGTCAATAAAAGACTTCCGGGGCAAACCTCGTTGATGACAAAATATATCATAGAGGCTCCCTGATGGAGATCAAAATCGCCAGCACGAAATTTCGTTAACCATCGTCGGCACTGATGCTCTTATAAAGCATTATGTTCGTAGACCTTGCGAAACTTTTCACGAGTCTTACACATGCATTCTCTTTACAGAAATTAAAGCAGCAAAACATGATGTAAATGTACCAGTTGGATCTTCCATTTTCATCTTCTTATAAAATCTCCGGAGTTCAACCAAATCATTCAGTTTGTAAGAGTGAAGCTAGAGCTATCAGTTGTCAAATGGCACATCAAAGTACAGATGCGAATGGGTCTGGTACTTCGAAACATGAATTTGCGCCATTTGTTGCAAAAATGCTTCGCGCCTTTTCTGGCAATCCAACTGCAAAACAGTTTCTAAAAATACTGAGAAAATAGATATCCCAAACCTTCGTTTGGGGAGCAATATAATAAATCAACATCCCATACAGGTATTCTGTCTATAACATTCTGTTCCATACAATTATTCTTTCCTTACGTATTCAGTCTGAGGTAATGGATGAGGTCTGTCATTCTCCGAACGTTTGACAGAACGGTTGTTCTTTGCTAATTTCAGGTTGCTAAGTATACTGTTTGAGGTGACACTACTCATAATAATGCTAGAATAATGACCTTTTTTTTCTATTTTTAATAATAGCAAAAAAAAATGAGTTACTTAGAGGCAACATATGCGTTTACATTTATACACGAAATATCAAGAAGCGGTAGATCAAGACCATTCAAGTGTCCGCTTATTACCATTCAAGTGTTCCTTAAATGACAAAAGTCTGTTTAAGAGATCCTGGAACTGCAAAAACATGCAGATAAGCTAGAGGAAAGTATATTTTATTTTTAAAAATTTCTTTATACTTTATGCTTACGTAATGTTCAGCATGAGGTAAGTATCTATAACTGAAAAAGCTTTAAAACTGAAATTTATCTTGAAAATTGTATGAAAAGATATGACTAAATATTTCTCCGCAGTTCACGTTGATGATGGAAAAGTGTCCACTTGACATACAAGAAATTTCCATAAAACGAATCCAAGAGCCTCCTCACTGTGAGAGCTGCATTTGTTTTGAGGACAAAATAGAAACTGAACACAAATTTAAAATATCCCCTCACTGCATATTAGAACAGCATCTTCGTCATGTTCCCCAATCAAGTATCCCTGACTGTTTCTCTGAACACCATCACCTCGAAAGCCTCCAGTGTCCAGGCTTCGAAAAGTTTATAGACTCTCCTCCCCCGAAGAACTTGCATCATCAAAAGTAAGTTAAATGTTTCGAGAAAGAATACTTTCATTGAAGACAGTGTACATGCTTAAAAGAGAGTCGGAAAAATTTACAATAAATTAAAATTATGTACTGTTCTGTTATCGGAACCGGATTCAGAAATATATGTATGCTTGGATGTAATGTGTATGTCTGGATATATTGCGTTTATGCATACATATATAATATATATGTATATCCGTGATATGTATATATATAAAACAGGTGGCCATAATTAAACTGACAGTGCTCACAGTGTTCTGTAGCGCGATCTATTTGCGAGAATGACGCCACATTTTGTAGGAAGATTAAACAAGACGGGGGACGAAGGATTCCGCGAAAAAAATAGATCCAAAAGTCACCGCTAGGGGGATATTTGGCGCTATGTAATAGAAATGCATTCAAATGAGGTTCAATGTGGCTGCCGTTGTTGTGGACCACATATTGCATTCTGTGCACAGTATGCAGAACAGCAGAAAGTAACATGTCTGCAGGAATGTCCCGTACAGTCCGTGATATGTTATCCTTCAACGTAGCCAGGTCCTGGACCACTCCTTGATAGACCTTGGACTTAAGGTAACCCCATAGCCAGAAGTCGCATGGGGTAAGATCAGGCGGCCGAGGTGGCCATGCAGTTGGAAAGTTGCGGTTAATGACGCTTTCTGTTGTGAATTTCTGTCGTAGCATCTGTCGCACCCGTACAGCAACGTGTGGAGGGGCTCCATCTTGCATGAAAATGAGTTCCCCCAGGCATTGTCTTTGCTGAAGTGCCGGAATGACAAAGCTGTTCAACATGTGGTGATATTTCTCTCCGATAACAGAACAGGTTTCCAGTCCTGTCGGGGTAATGTTCTCACAGAAGAATGGACCTACGATAAATTCCGCTGTGAACCCACACCAAACAGTTACCTTTGTGAATGTAAGGGAATTGCTGTGACTGCATGTGGTGGTTTGTCATCCCAATTCGGCAGTTCTGGGTATTCACAGTTCCATTCAGGTAATAGTGGGCCTCGTCTCCCCATAAGATCATCCATCACGGCCAAGCATCATCCACCTACATTCTGGCAAGAAAGGTGAGAGCAAAAGTCAATTGCTTATCATGTTCGAGGTACGGTAACTCTTGTACACGGCTGATCTTGTACGGATAGAAGTTGATAATCTTTCGTAATATTTTCCATACCGTACTGTAAGGCATATCCATATTCCATAAGGTTTATCCATAATAAAAGGTAATTTTATTCCGTATTAATTGCATTTGTTAACACTCTATTTTCTATTACGCAGCGCCAAATATTCCCCTATCGGTGACTTTTGGAACTAATTTTTTTTCGCGGAATCCTTCGTCCCCCGTCTTGTTTAATCTTCCTACAAAATGTGGCGTCATTCTTGCAAATGGATCGCGCTACAGAACATTGTGAGCACTGTCAGTTTAATTATGGCCACCCGGTATATATATATACACTTTGCACCAAAAAAGTAGGACAGTTCTATATCTCCCGTTCTACTGGGCTGATTGATGAAATTCAAATTGCGTTTTTCAAGTCTCGGAAGCGTGACTTAGGATATATATTAGATTTAAATATAACATCTTTCTAACATAGTTATTTTGAAACAAAATCGGACTTTTCCTGAAATGACATACTGATTTTTTCGATTCTACAACTCAAATTATGCCAAAATATTAATTTTTATAAAAATTTTGTGAAAAACTTGCCGAGAAATTAAAAAAATTACCTAGGCGCACTTTTTTTATTTTGCGCCATAAGTGAGTTACACAGTGAAATTCTTAATTTATAGTAACCTTCTTTCCTTTCCCTTTCACTGCACGAGAGGAAGAAAATGTTGCATCATTCATATTCTTTCAAATAATTTTGGAAAAGTGCTTTAACCACATTCGGTGTTATTATCGCTTATAATAAATATGCCAAATTTTAAAACGTGCATATATATATATATATATATTGCTCCTTATTAAAATTCTCAAAAATAATCTAATACCCATTCAATTTATTAACCATTGCCTTAAAAGAGCAGGCGTTAAATACTCACTCTAAATCATTTAACTGATAAGGATATGATAATTTGTTCCTAAACCTGAGAAGGCGGTATAAGTTGGATGACTATCAGTTGAAAGATTTGTATATAGTGTAATTACTCAGTTGTATATATTGTAAAAAGCTAATTGTCTTCAGACTTATGCAATTACTATGCTGTTACTAAAAAAAATGGGCCTATTTCATAATCTTTAGTCTGTCTAATAGCTCTTAGACAGTGAAAATTATTTTTTTCCTTTCTTAAATTCTTAATCATTTCGACACGACAATTAGCCAGAAATTAATTAATTTCTATTCACTAGTATTTTCAAAAAAATCTTAACAGACAGTTTCTCTCAAATAAGAACTCCACATAATACATTCCTCAAAAATTCCGAGTCCCACCCACTACCATAAATTACTTCACCCAAGTATTACCGACTGATATTATTCAAAGCCCTCGCTGCCGCTAAGAATTTTTCGGACATCCTACACTTCTGAGTCAGACGCGAAGAGAACACTTTGCCGACTCCCCACTAGAAAGAATGTAAGTCACTTATTACTTTTTCTGGCCTTTATTTCTTCATGTGCATTCACTGTTCTTATTATATTTTTTATTTTATATTATTTTTGATTTATCTTTACAAAGTTTGCATTATTTATCTTATTTTGTAACCTTCTATGTTTATTTCAACTTTATACTTTGAATTCTATTTCATAATGACAATTTCAAATGCTTCATTTTTACAAATAATATAGAACTCAAATGCATAAACACGGCGGTGTCGGGGGACGGTTACTCGAGTTTTTTCGGAATTCCCTAGAGAAATTGCTTTTCACTCAAAATTGAATTGGCTAAAATGCTTCATAGGAATAAGTTCTTTGAGTATCAGCATTGGTACATAATCCCTTCTATTGCGGAAATATTTGGCCTGACTAGAATTGCCGGTTTGGCTTGACCTTATTACTCGAGTAAAGACGAAACACCTTCGTATTTATGTATTTATTTTTTAATCATTGTTCATAGAACAATGGGTTGGTTTGTTCCCCTTGAAAAGTCAACTAATTTCCAATCAATAACAATGATTACATGGATTTAATTTAATTTTTTCTTTTACAATTGAAATATTGTTCTTCATGATGATTTAACATTTTACTTTCAAGTTACTTCAAAACATCTTTCAAAATATAACTTATTAGCATGGATTCACTCTTTTAAAAATTTCTACTTCAATTAAACTTAGGAGATAATATAATCAATTAATCAATATTGTTTAGGAAATAAATTATTATTAACTTACTTTGCAGCAATTGCGCAAGTAATAGTAACTTGTTTTCTCACTAAATGCATTTAAGATCATACCACATTGATTATATATATATATATATATATATTTATGCATGTCTTGGGAAATTTTGAATAAAAACTTAATTTTTTGAAGGTATGCTTACGAATACATCTGCTTTAAAGTGATGGTAAAAAGTTTACAGCTTCAAAAATGTTTTCCAAAAATTTATAAAAACTACTAAAAAATATAAGTTTTAAAAATAAAACCAGAACATATTCGCGAATGTTGTTTGGATTGAACCTCATTGGTGCTGTGCGGATCATGATGGCCTATTTCTTTTTTTCTTTTTTTAACCCAAAAGAGATATTAGTCCAGAATGGGATATTAATCTCGAAACGGCATTTTGCGTTGAATCACTATAAACGGCATATCACTTTTAAGATTGTAGCCACCAAATATTATCGCCCTGTATTATATTTAAAAAAAAATTAAATAATGCAGATTCTGCATGAATGTATGCATGATTCTCGCATTGTGAAAAAACAAGGTACCTACAGACATCCAGTTCTGAATAATGTAGTTCTCCACCTGAACATGGGCACCTGGAAGCCCGAGTTTTGAATTTCCGATTGGTTTTATTGCGTATTTTACATTTTGTAAAGCATTAGCGAATTTTTGATTAACAAATTCAACGATTTCAAAAAGATTAATGGCAACAATGTACGGTAACAAACATTTTTATCTTCGGTGTGCGAGACTGTATATCGGAAATTCTAAAGATATATTGTTTGTAAATAATTTGTGATTTTTTGTTCAATTGAATTTTATGTGGCGTAAGAGCCGAGAGAGTGTTATTTAACAAATAAAATAAACACACAAAAGATAAACACACAAAAGCAGAATAAAATAAACACACACACACAAAAAAAAAAACAGCTTAGTAAGAAAACTGAACATTGATATGATGAACTGAAAAAACAGAAAAATGTTTTACAAGACTTAACGTTGTATGCTATACTGCTTTTAAAATTTTTGTAATTTTCCTGTTGAATTGTATGAGCGAAGAAAATGGTGTCTAATAATAAAACTAAAAAAAATCTGGTGTGTACACCACATGACTTCCTTGCACGGAATATTAAATTATACGCACTTTTTTCTTGAATTTCATTTAAATTGATTGGATTGAATAAAATATACTTCGTCGACAGCGCATGAACCACAACAGAATAAATGCACTCTTTAAAATTCATTATATTTGTTTACTATAAGGACACTCTGAATGCACAAAATTTATATCATTTGAAGAATTATCTTATCGTTGCCACATGTTCTATTCAAATACTATAATAAAGCTAGAATGATGTATGAAAGAAATTAAGCAAAGAAAACAGAAGAAAAGAAACAGTTTTTTCACAGACGATTTAGTATTTCTCATTCAATTAATTCAGTTCTCACTTCGCGACAAGGCAAAAATACATAAAAACTCAAAATATCTGTATTAAAAATTACGAAGTAAATCTTAAACACTTATTTCCTCGAAAAATTTCAAGAAAGGATTAAGCATGATTTAATTCGCAATAATACATGAAGGCGTTATTTTGTTGTTGCGAAGCTTAGTCTCTCTCCGATTGGCAACAAAATCTACAATTCTGCTGTTTCAAATGTAAACAAATATGTCCGCCATGTTATTTAAAATTTAACCGCACTTAACAGCTTTTAAATTGTTGATAATTGTACAAATATTGCTTCCAGAATTACGAAGGCATAAAAACCTTAACCAAAGAAGAACAACAGAATTCAATCATTTTAAAGCAAAAAATGTACAATTTACAAACATATAAGAGTAAAGAAACTGAGGTCACTGTGCCGAGTAACAGAGTGAATATACATATAAATATAGTATTTATATACGTTTGGTGCGGCCGATTGCAACCAAAATACGAGGTGCACATCTACATGTTATAGCAGTCCTATATACAAAATTTCAACGTTCTGAGGCTACTCGTTTTTCGAGTTATGCGAGATACGTACGTACGCACATACGTTCGTACAGACTGTACTGGCGTCTGTACGAACGTTCGTACAGACGCCACGAAAAATTCTCTTCAGAATTCATTTTAAAGCAGTTTTTGTAAATTTTTTTTTTTTTTTTTTTTTTTTTTTTTTTTTGAGGAACGAGTCTTTTTTCTGTCCTTCGTACAGATATCACGCAAAATCATCGTTCAAATGGTTTCGAGACCGGTTGAAATGGATATTTTTGTTGAAATATGATACCCGAAATTTTTGGCGATTACAATAGTTCCTTTTTACTTCGTACAAGGAAGTAAAAAAAGACAAAAAAAAAAAGAGTTTGTACGTGTAAGTGTAACAGCAGACTGCTAGACTACGAGCTCAGCGACAGCGTAAAAACCCTTAACAAACTCTTCTGGATGACCGTTAAAATCTGAAACCTTTCAGAGTTTTTTTAAAAATTATTTGGTACTTTTCCGTTTCGCCGGCGCAAATCTCGCCAAGCAGACTTTATTGGCGACAACATACAGTATGCACATAAAAAATATTAAAAAAAAATGTTAGTTCTAAGAATTCGTTTTTTGAAGGCATAAACATTTTAATATCGCTTACAATTTTATAAAAAGCCAATAAATAAAGGCAATAAATTTGCAAAAAGACATTAAATTAAGAATTTACTATGGTTCAACATCCTGATTCGCCGGTTCATATCACGTGACCCCAAGCGATCTCATCTCACGTAAACTACTCTACAAAAATCTAATGCTCTCAGTAATTATCTACATTAATTTGAAGTTAAATCTTAATTTGGAACACAAGTTTAAATGCAAGAAATATTTCAGTTCGTACGAATAACTTACTCAGAAATTATGTAAAAATGCAGTACTTTACTTCGCTAATGCATTCTCATTAGAGTCGAGGAATTTAACCTTTGACTTTACCTTTTCTATATTTCGGCTTCGGGCAAGCGCTGTGATTGCATCCTAACTGACTTAATTACCGAAAATGGCCTTAGACATAAAACTGAACTATCTGATAAAAATTCTATGTAAATATGCCAGTAATGAAAGAAACAATCAATCTGATAAAAAAGCTGCGACTTGTTTTGAAAATGAGCCGTAAAAGGTTACCAGCGAGAATATTCCGTTTGGCATCGGTTGTATCATTATTGGCGACTTTATCGCTTGCGCCGGCAAAACGGAAAAGTACCAATTATTTTTGTCAGTTACTTGCCGTTATATTGCTGTATTCACTGTCATGTGTATGTAATACGTATTTTTTCAGATTCCATGCATGTTGTAACAGCGACTTTATGAAACTGAAATTATTTCTGTGGCACTTAGATGCTTCCTTGTTGGATGATTACGTTAAGCGAATTTCCGAAAACTTAGATATAGATGGCTACAAAAGATTATTTCGAGAAGTGAGTATAAAAAACATTATATTTAACAAAAAAAAAAAAAAAAAAAAAAAAAAAAAACATAACTGATATTGGGTTTTTTCCCCCCTCAAAATCATGCTTTGCTTTTACATGCTCGCCTTCCTTCAGTTGTGGGACAGAAAAAAGCAGTTTAAAGACACGATACTTTCCTCTCGATGTTTCAGTGAGCTACCAAGTATATGTCACGCTTGTTTCCTGGAAGACCTCTGTTGTTATCATGATTTCTGTGATCTCGAAAAGGTAAGTATTGTAATTTCTCTTCCTTCCAAATTCATGTTCAGGAACATATAATGTCTAAGGCTTTAAAACTTACTTGCTTATGCTATAGAATCATTAGGTTATTTTGAGGCAGGAGACGGGGAAAAAATAGCATTGCTCTCACCGGAACTCGAATCCTGGACCTGTCGAATATGCGTTAAATATTCTTCAAGTTATACCCCGAAGGCATGCGGAAAAAGAGGGAGAAAATACCTTATAATTTCTTTCACCTAACGGCTGATCCTACCTATGTTAGCGATTAGCTGCCCAAACGGTTATATAGTGGTTAGCCTCGCTGGCTGCCGTGCCGAAGGGCTTGAGTTCGAATCCCGGAGAAAGCAGGGAAATTTGTAAATATATAGTGTTCGTACGGCATGGAGGCACTCAAAATATGCGGCGAGCCGAAAGTACTTTCGAGAGGTTGGTGGTAGGGAAAGAGAGATAGGAGACCCTCGGATCCCTTGCCTCCCCGGGTGCTCTTCATCAAAATTGGAGGAGGAACTGAGCTAAATCGCATCGTCACCTGTAAGGTGCTCAAGGCTGTTGCCAACGACAGGCTGTTGCCCGGTGAATTTCGTGGCCTTGGGCTGACTATTGGTCAAACAAGTGAGCATCAGCAGAAACAACAGCAACATTAGTGATTATCGCCTGGGTTAACTATTAGCTCACAAGATAACGTTTCCACTTCAAGTCTTAGATACTAATTTAAGGTGTGCAAAAGCGCTTATTTTTCTATTTCCAGCCAAAAGTCAGATAGCTCTACACTAAGTAGAAGTCAAAACTCCCAGCAGTTGATGCCTTAAGAACAACCAACGATTTCCCGACAAAAGATAAGACTCTTCATAGGTGGCCGCAGGCCACGAAACACGGGTTCCTGGGCCGGAGCCATATCCCAGGCTATCAAGATATGTGATAAACCTTGTTCGCTATGACTTGCTACTAAAAATAAAACCAAACTAAAGATTAGGACTTTTCAAAAGCTTATGCTAAAGCAGAGAGGTGGGAGCAAAAGTATAGCCTACGTAGTTCTATAACACATTTTGAGTCGGAACGGGAAACTGCATGACTATCTAACACTTAACGACCTTTGTCAAAACTTGAATAGGTCTTACTCTGTGAGTGGTTTCTGCAAAAAGGGGGCAGTTCTGAGGAACGTGTTTCACTTAGCTACGGTTAACCTTTTGAAGACGGATGGTCCATTTAGTGGCATAGAGATTCCTCTCTTTGAAAAGAAGTGTTTGTCCACTTTAGGGCTATGTATTTTTGCCCAATTTTACCAGGCTGAAAAGTGTGAAGTGAAATGTCAAATTTAACGTCCTCCGGTTTTAACCACTTATCTCTTTCAAAGGTCGCTTTTGTGACATAGATGCTACGCCTCTTCTGAGATTCCATTAAACTACACAAAATCTTTGTTATGCAAATAGGAGGTGATTTTTAAAGGGGGGAAACATTCGGGTCAAGATTCCCGTCCTTTTGGTACCTTTTACTGTACCAAAGCACAGCTCAAAAGGAAAGTTCTTGTACAAAAATATGCTGGAAAAAGTCTGTTTAACAACGGGTAAATGGATATCTCACTAATTTGACGAGATATCGCCACTAATTTTTGCCTCCAAATTTGGCGGGAAATCGCAAAACGACGCCAACTTGACGATCATTTGGCGACATTTCGCTCCGGTCTCAGTATAACTGTAATATTATAATTGAATAACTGTAACTGATCCTCTATGTAGCTGTAACCGTATTCGCTTCTCATATGCCTTCTAGTAATTTCGAGAAATCGAAGATACTCGGCGGCGAGGTGAAAACTGTATAAGATCGGAGACAGCATCAGTTTCTTAGTTGTTTAGTTCAGGGTAATTTCGGAGTATTGAGATATCTCTGTGTGAGCTTTCTCTTTAGATGCGCTTTGCATTGCATTGTGTTTAACGTTCTTAGAATTTGGAGCTGTAACTACTGACTATACTCTGCGATACTGTAAAAAACTGTACGACTATTTTTGTGGAAAACTCCAGAACTCTGAAGTTTTTCTTTTGATAAAATAAATCTCATCAAGCTGTCATCGCACCTATGTGCATTCCTGTACACACGCAACCATATGTCTCTATCCTTGACTACCGGTTCTAGAAAGTTATTTTGATCTTTCAGATTCTGAGATACTGATAAGGCTGTAATGTCGTGTATTCTTAGCTATCATAAAATGTACGTGACGTTGAAGACTGTGTAGAGAATTATCACTAAGTCTTTTAAAGTACTGCAAAGTCAGAAAAAAGGTGCATAGAAGAACCCTTTATTAACTCAAATACGTCACCAACTCGTGCTTAAATCAGAAAGGTAAAGAATAACTTAAAACTGATGTAGTTCAGTATAGCCGGCCGCCAAAACGTATACTGGTTGGGGTCGCTGACAGCCGTTCCAAAGGGTTCGGTTCGAATCCCTGAGAAGGCATGGATGTTTGTAAATGTATATTGTCCGTGTCGCGTCGGGGCACTCTAAATATGCGGCGAGCCGAAAGTCATCTCAAGAGGTTGGCGATAAGGGAAGAGGGGTGGAAGACCTTCGGATTCGTCCCCACCGGGGTGCTCTCCATCAAAATTGGGGGGGGGGAACTGAAGTAAATCATACTGTTACCTGTAAGGTGCTCAAGGGCTGTTGCCAACGACAGGAGTATCTTATGCTCCTTGCCCCGAGGAATTTCGTGGGCGTGAGCTGATTATAGGTCAGACAAGTGAGCATTAGTCAACAACAACAAATATAGACTGTCGGTTTAGGTTCAGCCTGTTCATTACTATATTATCTCGCACAAGCTGGCTCTGACTGTAAAGAAGTCAGCGAAAACAAGCCGAATGGCAAGACTAACTTAACGCCGCAGAATTTCTACAAAGTTAGCAACGTTTCCTTCAAGCAGGCAGAACACGCTCTGATTTCATCCTTCAAAACCTACGTACTTCATGCTGCTTATTTGAATATTGTGCGTGTTGGAAATTGCATTCTGGCAGAGAAATGAAATGAGGTTTGACAGGTTTAACGGGTTATAAAATTAAACACTGAAGTGATAAAAGTCATGGGATAGCAATATGCAAATATACAGATGGCAGTAGTATCGCGTAGAAAATGTATAAATGCGAAGTGCTTTGGCAGGGCTTTCATTTGTGTTCAAGTTATTCATGTGAAGAGGCTTTGACGTGATTATGGCCGCACGACGGGAATTGACAGACTTTGAACGCGGAATGGTAGTTGGAGCTAGACGCATGGGTCATTCCATTTCGGATATCGTTAGGGAATTCAACATTCCGAGATCCACAGTGTCAAGAGTGTGCCGAGAGTATCTAATTTCAGGCATAACATCCCACCATGGACAACGCAGTGGCCGACCACCTGCACTTAACGACCGAGACCAGCGACGTCTGCGTAGAGATTTCAATGTTCACAGACAAGCAACACTGCGTCAAATAACCGCAGAAATCAATGTGGGACGTACGAGGGACGTGTCCGATAGGACAGTGCGGCGAAATTTGTCTTCCTTGGGCTATGCCAGCAGAAGACCGACTCGAGTGCCTTTACTGACAGCACGACATCGCCTGCAGCGACTCTCGTGGGCTCGTGAGCATATCGGTTGGTCCCTAAAGGAATGGTAAACCGTGGCTTGGTCAGATGAGTCACGATTTCAGTTGGTAAGAGCTGATGTTAGGGTTCGAGTGTGACGCTGACTCCACGAAGCCATGGACCCAAGTTGTCAACAAGGCACTGTTCAAGCTGGTGGTGGTTCCATAATGGTCTGGGCTGTTTTTACATGACATGGACTCGGTCCTCTGGTGCAACCGAACCGATCATTGACTGGAAATGGATACCTTCAGCTACTTGGAGATCACTTACAGCCATTCATGGACTTCAAGTACTCAAACAACGATGGGATTTTTATAGATGACAATGCGCCATGTCACCGGGCCACAATTGTTCGCGATTGGTTAGAAGAACATTCTGGACAATTCCAGCGAATGATCTGGCCACCTAGATCGCCCGACATGAATCCCATCGAACATTTATGGGACATCATCGAGAGGTGAGTTCATGCCTAAAATCCTGAACCGTCAACACTTTCACAATTATGGACGTCTATAGAGGCATCATGGCTCAATATTCCTGCAGGGGACTTCCAACGACTTGTTGAATCCATGCCACGTCGAGTTGCTGCACTTCGGCGGGCAAAAGGAGGACGGACAAATATTAGGATGTATCCCATGACTTTTGTCACTTCAATGTATAGGAACATATAAATGTCTTAGCCTGTGAAGGACTCTTTTGACATTAATTACTTGCACATGTTCAGTAACCTTTCTTCGATATGAGTTCAGCCTGTTCATTTCTGAATAGTTTGTAGTGCCTTGGAATGCACTACTTCTTTTTTCCCCTTAGTTTTTGCCCAAGAAACTGGCACTCAATAATGGCATACTGTTAAATTTGTTAAATCCTTCCTTCTTTTAAATTTGAGTATCATTACTATAGTATCAAAGATGTATGAAAATATACTGAAACAAAATTTACTATACGTAATTTTTTATATGTTGTAGAAAGTGGATCAAGTGCAGCATGAATTTCCCAAGAACAAATGTAATTGTGGTTCCAAAGGAAATGTGGCTCCATTTATTCAAACATCCACACAAAAAGTAATGCCAGAGAAAACGCCTGGAAGTGATGAATCACTGGACTTAAAAACAATGGAATTATTACAGAAGATATTTGCAAGCGATGATTCCCTCATGTCAAGTGGAAAACAATCAACAGAAAATAAATCTGCAAGTGATGATACTCTACTCTCAAAACGAAAAGCTTCAACAGACAGACCATCTTTAAGCGATGGTTCTGAGGCATCAAAAGAAAGCCAGTCCATGAAAAATGAATCCGTAAATGAAGATTCACAGGAAGATAAATTACAAGCAGAAGCATCAAAAGACAATGATTTACAAGAGACTAAGGACAAAGAAAAATATCCAGTATTTTCTAGCAATCGCAATTCAGTCCTTTAGAAACTTGCAGTTAAAATAAGATTATAACTTTAAATTCCTATGTTTAACAGATTAGTTCAGAGATATATGATATCCCATTTCTACAAAGAAGTTAATAAATATTTAAGCAGCTAGTAACTACTTGACTGTTATAATGTTAACATATTATTGTGAAATGACAAGTTGCGGTAAGATAGCTTACCCGCGAAGCGGCTTTAGGGTTGACAGAAAATGGCTTGGAAAGGCGGGGTTGCCAGATTTTGCGCGAAATCGTCCACTTGGCGACATCTGGAGACAAAATTGGCGGTATGCCTTAGAACGAGAACATTCTCGAGAAAATCAGTAAGAATTCGATCTAGAATATTTTCGTTCCGTCTATGGCATATCCTTAATTTCCATATGCCATATTTGGCGATTTCAAGCCAAATATGGCAACCCTAAACCTGCTTTGCGGGGAAGCTATCTTACCGCATCTGGGCATTTTGCAACAGTATTGAAACTTTTTATACCAATTTCTCTTTTAGAAAATAATAGTATTATTTGTGACTTCACAAGGAATAACAAAATTTTCACTTATATTAATAAAATTATTCGATAATAGAACAACCCCTTTATACTTCAAAATGCAGTGACAGTGTGTTTCTTGAGGAATGAAATAAAAGCGAAATAAAATTCAAAATTCCTTATTGAAATAAACTGTAGTTTTTAAGGGGTATAAACAAAAGTTTATTTATTTAATTCAACTGTGAAGTTATTGTTTAACTCGATAAAACATTATTAACTCCACTACCCCATTCAAAAACATTCGAAAAAGCACGTTAAATCAAGCGCAACATCCAACCAGTCTCCACATTTGGCGACAAATTAAAAGCTTAAATGAATCAGAATCGCGACAAAAGGAGCGCTAACACAGCGTACAATTCCACAAAATTTTAAGGGTGTATTCCCAGAATTGTACAGACAGTCAGACGACTTATCGTCCATCGTAACTTTTAAGTTGAGTAACTCAAATTCAGATAACGGTTTGCAATATTTTTTTTTTTTTTTAATTCAGAGACGTCAGCCTGGTAGTTACATAAACTGAGAACAAACTCAAAGATAAAATCTCCGTAACTTGAAGCAAATTCTAAACAAATGTTCATATCGAATTAAAATATCGCCCACCAGCGGCCGAAGCGGTAAAGTCGCTGAACACTGGTAGTACGGTCCGAGGTTCGAATCCCGCGAACGGGCTGACTGCATGGGCGTTTTCGTGGTTTTCTCCATGTGTAACGTGTATACCAGCCAGTTACCCTTAGAAAGTCCTCCAGGAAGGCATCCCTCCTCTTAGGCAGATAGCGCTCGAGGCTTTGCCATAATCACATACACACCAAATACACACACGAATTAAAATATCAAATACGAAGTAATAAATTCCTAATAAACATTTGCTCATGCTTCAAAGTTTACATGAAGTAATTATGACCAGCGAAGCTAAAGCCGATAATCAAATAAGTAACAGGCAGATGCAGCAAAGTAAATGGCCAGCAGTAATTGCTAAAGGCTCTCAATTAATTTGTACCCTGGTGGGAGTTGACTGAAATAGAAGTGAAATTAAAAATTTTTATGGAAATTTTTTTAAACTTTCAGAATTGTGTAAATAATTTAACATTAATTAGTAATTATTGCTTTAGGTATTAATTATTTTTTATTGTCTTACGAGATATATTTAAAATTGACATGTTTCGTTTCTGCCATGTTCGGAAAATGTTTTTGCTTCACATTTATGCGAATATAGTACATATATGTGCAACGATTTTGGGATATTTCATTTGCATCTTAAAGAAGTTTTTTAAATCACTGCAAAATACTAGCGAAAATTTATAATGCGCAAACATTTCTTAAAATAATAATAATAATTAATTAATTAATTAAAATCTGTGGTTCGATTCCCGGACGAGGCGATTGCTCATTTTTGCCACCCAGTCGGTATGGTGATCAGGGAAGCTGACTGCGATGCCGAAGGGCCTGGGTTCGAATCCCGGAGAAGGCATGGTTGTAACTGTCCGTCCCTTCATAGGAAAGGCGATGGTGGCCCACCTATTAGGTGCCTCCATAATAAAGAGACCACCACATCCGGCCTTGTATAGATTAATGGACTGGGTTACATTTGTAATTGTTCACAATCTGACATTTGAAAAAAAAATAATAATAATTAATTAAAATCCTTAAAGGGTCCATGTTTTAAAGTCCGCCCAAAAGTGTTAAAAGTTTTATATGGTTTATCAGCAAATATTATCATTAGAGATGGCCCATACGCTTGTATGGCAAGTTGCCTCCATAGAAATGCTTGCTGTCAACAGAGATCGGCCCGATGAATGGTTTCCTCGCGAATTACGGCCATTTGATTTTCTCTCTCTTCCCTTTCTTTGCTTGCTGATAGTTGCACGAAATCCAATGAAGATGATCCGAAGTGGTTGTAATACTAAGGCTAACTTTGGCACTAAACTGCGAGTGAGAGAAAAGATACATATTCGCAGGGTCAATCGTTATTATAATTTGATTATATCAGTATCGCAGAAACTGGAGCTTAAATTTAAATGCTTTAAGAATAATGGTCTGCAAAGACTATCTAAGATGGACAGCATTTGGGAGGTCTAAGATAAAGCGTATTTGGAAGTTCGGAAGAAATCCATTTTAAGCCGAAATAGCCAAATAACTGAATATTATAGAAGCAAATTGTATTATTGATATATGGTTAGTTCAAGAAAACTGAAGCAGTAGCCAGAAAACCAGAAAAAAGACAGCAAAAAGCCATTTCAAATAAAAAATGCCTTTAACTGGCTCGGCTTTGTAGCAACATGGAATTTGAAAGATAGCGATTTTCTCTTAAGCTGTCTTTCCCTTTTGAAACTTTGACACTGAGACAAACATTTTATAGAACGTTCAGTGATAGGGAACTTTATGGACAATCATTTACACTCATGTCCATAAATTAAGGATGATGCAAAATCAGGCAAAGGAAGAGTTCGAAGCAAAACAAATTTGACTTATTTGTAAAGCTTATTTATTAAACAAAAGGTAAAGAGCAAAAAACGATGCTATATGTTTGATATTATTAAAAAAAAATTAGCGATTTTTTCTCCCTGGAGCAAATTACACACACACAAAAAAAAAAAAAAAAAAAAAAAAAAAAAAAAAACTATTTACTCCCCCCCCAAAAAAAAAACAATATTACATGGTTGTTATGATTGTTAATACATTGTAGGTCTCCCAGACGATGCAATACAGTTCGTACAACGCCTAGGCATGCTGAGTATCAAATTATCTATTTGATCTTGGGGGATATTACACCACTCAAAAAGCAATGCTCTCCGGAGTTCCGGTAGACATGTAGGAGGAGGTTGACGGATTGCAACTCGTAGGCCAAGCATATTCCACACGTGCTCTACTGGATTCAAGTCCGCTGAGAATGCTGGCCAGTCCATAAGGGCGATATCCTCCGATTGAAGACATTCGCTTACGATGTTTGCACCGTGAGGACGGGCGTTGTCATCCATAAACACAAATTGTGCGCCCATGGCGCCCCGAAACAAACGTACATGTTGTTTCAGAATGACGTCCCGTTAGATTTGGTTTGTTATGGTTCCAATTTGAACATGCAGGTCAGATCTGGAACCCAGAATAATTCCACTCCAAAGGAACACTCCTACACCACCGTAACGGTGTCGTTCAATGATGTTTTCTTGGTGGTAACGGGTACCTGCAGCTCTCCATATGAAAGTCCGGCAAGAACCAGACTGCAAGCTAAACCTGGACTCGTCGGAAAATCACGCAAGCCCACTGTTGCTGTGTCCACAATGCATGCTTTCTACTCCAGGCTAACCGCAGGCGACAGTGAGTTGCAGAATGAGGAACGCATCTGACAGGTCTACGAGCATATAAAACAATCTGCCCTAAGCGTCTGTACACGGTCTGCCTTGAAACTGTCGTACCAGTGGCTGAAGAGAGCTGACGACACAGGTCTGAGGCTGTGCTCCGCCTGTTTCTTTTGGCAGTAAGTGCTAAATACCGGTCCTCATTCGGCGTTGTAACTCTGTGGCGACCTGTGCTGTAACGTCTGCTCATATTACCATCATCTTGGAATCGTTGCCAAAGCCTGGAGATGACACTCTGGGCAATTCCAAGTTCGCCTGATACTTCCAGTTGGGTACGACCACATTCCAGACGGTCGATAATTCTACCACGTAAAAAATCATCCAAATGCGTCTTTGTGTCATAACTATTCGGTTATTGCACTGAAATGCTTATGAAGCGCCTGCGAACAATTTTACTTCTTTGCCTGTATTCCTTATATATCACTCTCTACACTCTCGTCATTGTGACGTACCATCGGTGTCATCTGGTTACTTCCTGAAATTTGCATATGATTCTTGATGTGTGATTTTACAGGTGATATATTTATTTTAGAGTTCGATTTCCGTGTGACTTCCAATTATCCTTAATTTATGGACATGAGTGTACATTTCTCATGAAAACACTTTATGAATTGTTTACACAACATCTGGTTTGCACAACCCAACACCAAAAGGCTCATGTTGATTCTCGATTGAAAAATGCAAGTTGAATTTCGTGCTTCGTGAATCGGCCCAGTAGAACGGGAGATACAGAACTGTCCTGCCCCCCCCCTTTTTTTTTAGTCAGAACGGGCTTTGTCCCTGAAAGACTATTGTTTTTATTTTGCGATTTTGCGTCGATTCACTACAAACGGTGAATCACTTTTGAAACTGTTGCCACATAGTATTATCGCCCTGTGTATGTGTATATCGTATGCATTACATTTAAAGAAATTTAAGAATGACCAATCTGAATAAATGTATGCATATTTCCCACACTGCGATAAAACAACGGTACATAGAGCCATCGAATTTTGAATAACGTAATCCTACTACGAATATGGGCATGTTGAAGACCAAATTTGAAATTCGGAATTTGTTTTATTATCGATTTCCTATTTTGTAAAACTTTAACGAATTTTTGATTAACAAACTCAAGGATTGCAAAGCGAGTCACGGCAGCGTTGTACAGAAAAAATATTTTTATCTCCAGCGCGTGAATCTCTATATCGGAAATTCTAAAGATATGCTCATTTTAAAAAA